GCCTGAAATTTTTCTACTTAAGTTGGGTCTTTTCACTTTTCCAGTTTGAACTGAAGTCTGATAAAATTTGATTGCTATAGGTCGATTCTGAATGACATCATGACCAAGTCATGATTGCTTCCTATGTCTGCATGGGAAAAGGTACTTGTGTATGCAGTGTTCACTCCTGCTCTGAAGCATTTTGGGACCAATGATGTAGTAGATCTGATTTCAGTGTTGACCGTCTGGACTGATCCAGATCCACTTCCTTGATGGCTTGTGTATTCCAAACACAAAGGCAATCAGGAGTGATACTTTTACCATACTAGGTTTATAAGTTTTTGTTTTTTTTTTTTAAGGAGAAGGACCTTGAGCTAAAATTTTTTTGAATTTTTAAAAATATTTTTTGTATTACTAATTTAGTATATCCCATATATGTTAAAGCAGTTCTATTATTACATTTCTTACCTTATTTTAGAGATATTGATTGAAAAATACCATGCCCTACAGGGTCTTTGTAGAGTTTTTTTGATTCTTCATGTTTATAGTCCCATTATTCAGTTCATGATAGGCATTTTAAGCAAAGTTAAAAAAATATGTAAGTGGACGTAAATCTTATCAAATATTTCAGAATATGAGTAGCGTTTAAAATGTAAAAAAGGAAAATTCTGGTGGGTTTTTTGTAAGTAAAATTCATTTGAATTCATTAAAAAAAATTACATTTTGTGAATATATATGCACTTATATATGCAGTCTTGTTAAAAATCAAAACTTTATGTCCCTGTTATCAAAGATTCAAGGGTAGGTAGTTTTTACTCTGTCCATCTGTCTGTTCATCTGTTTGTTTTTCAGCAAAAAAGTTTATTCTTGCCAATAACTTTTGATATGATTGAACAAGGGCTTGCATATTTCACATTTAAATACTCCTTGTAACAAGGTCTTTCTTTGGGTACCAATGCATTTGAGCTTTTGACCCTGACCTTGGAGTTTGACCCACTTTTGCCAATTTTAACCATCCTCAACCATAGCTTTTTAATCGTAAGTGCTATGATTTTTCTGCTTCACATGTATATTCTTTCTGATTAAACCCTTTTTTAGGTCACCTGAGTAAACTCAACCAATTTTGGCATGTAGCATCTATGGGTGAAGAAGAACAAAAATAGTGAATATCATGGTCCCTGCCCCCCAGGGGCTTGAGGGGTGGGGCCAAAACCACTAAAATTAATGCAATCTTTAAAAATCTTTTTCTTTACTCCAGGACATCAAGCAGTCAAACTGTTGGCATGATTGTAATAAGCATTGAACCCTCTACCAAAATTGTGAAAGTCATGGCCCCAGGGTCAGGGGTTCGGGTGCTAGGACTGGGCTCTATTGATCATATAGTGAAAATGCATAAATTCTTTTTCTCTACTCCTAAGTATTAAGCAAACAAATTAAATGCATAGTTATGATGAAGAAGTGTGCCTCTTCCAAAATTGTGAATTTCATGGCCCCTGGGTCAGGGGTTCTGTTTTAGGGCAGGCTTTAATGATAATATAGTGAAAATGAATAAATTCTTTGAAAATCTCCTCTGCTCCTGGGTATTAAGCCAATGAACTTAGTATATAGTTATGATAAGGAGGGGTGCCTTTTCTAAAATTGTAAATTTCTTGCCCCCTGGGTCAGGGGTTCTGATGTTAGGGTGGGGCTATTATTGACCATATAGTGAAAATGCATAAATTCTTTAAAAATCTTCTTCTCTCCCCCTGTATGTAAAAAAGATAAACTAGGTACATGGTTATTATGATCAACTGTGCCTCTTCCGAAATTGTGAAATTTGTGGCCCCAGGCTGAGGGGTTTTGTGGGAGAGTGGGGTTCTATTGATTATATAGTGAAAGTGCATTATTTCTAAGAAAATATTCATCTCTGCTCTTAGGTATTTAGCAGATAAACCAAGTACATAGTTATGATGAGCAAGAAGGCCCCTTTTGAAATTGTGAATATCTTGGCCCCAGGGTCAGGGGTTCTGATGTTAGGGTGGGGCTCTATTGATCATGTAGAGAAAATGCATAAATTCCTTAAAAATCCTCTTCTCTCCCCCTGTATATAAAAAAGATAAACTAGGTGCATGGTTATGTTGATCAAGGGTGCCTTTTCCAAAATTGTGAAAATTTGTGGCCCCAGGATGAGGGGTTTTGAGGTGGGGAGGGGGGGCTCTATTGATTATATAGTGAAAATGCATTATTTCTTAGAAAATCATCTCTGCTCCTAAGTATTTAACAGATAAACCAAGAAAACAGCTATGATGAGCAAGGGTGCCTTTTCCAAAATTATGAATATATAGGCCCCTGGGTCAGGTGTTCTGGTGTAAGGTGGATCTCTATTGATCATATAGTGCAAATGCATCAATTCTTTAAAAATCTCCTCTCGCCCTGTATAAGAAAGAAGATAAACTAAGTGCATGGTTATGATGATCAAGGATGCCTCTTCCAAAATTGTGAAATTTGTGGCATTAGGTTGTGGGGTCCTGAGAGGGTCTATTGAATATATAGTGAAAGTGCAATATTTCTTTGAAAATCTTTTTCTCTGCTCCTAGGTATTTTGCAGATAAACCAATTATATAGTTATGATGAGCAAGGGTGCCTCTTCCAAAATTGCGAATATCTTGGTCTCTGGGTCAGGTGTTCTGGTGTTAGGACGGGGCTCTATTGATCATATAGAGAAAATGCATAAATTCTTTGAAAATCTTCTTCTCTGTCCCTGTATACAAAGAAGATAAACTAGGTGCATGGTTATGATGATCAAGGGTGTCTCTTTCAAAATTGTGAAATTCGTGGTCCCATGGCTGGGGGTTTGCAAGAGGGGGGCTCTGTTGATTATATAGTGAAAGTGCATTTTTTTTTAAACTCTTCTTCTTTGCCCATGTTATTAAGGAAATACACTAGGTGCATGGTTATGATGAGCAAGCTGAGTGTCTCTTCCAAAATTGTGATTATATCAGGCCCTGGGTCAGAGGCTTTGGTATTTGGGTGGGGCTATGTTGAATCTATAGTGAAAATGGATTATTTCCTTGAATATCTTCTTCTCTGCTCCTGGGCATCTAGGAGGCAAATAGAGTATATAAAGTTGTAATAAGGATCGAGGGGTGTTTTTACCAAATTTTGAAAGAACTGCGAACGATAGTATTGTTCTCCCGCCTAACTCCAAGTCAATTTTGAAAAGTTAACATATTTGAATGACTTTTTATATTTATTTAGATATTTATATAAATTTTCATGAAATATTACTTATTTGTGAAAACAAAGAGAGATAACTCTATAATTTTGGTAAAACTTGTAAAACATCCCCCCCCCCATGAAACAAAAATTCCTTCTTACGGGTAATATGGATTGTTGTTTCACAAATTCATGCCAAAAATTTTTGTGTTTCATGGGGGGGGGGGGGGGGGGGGGGGCATACTTTTGAAAAAAACTTAAACCTTATCCATAACTTTTGAGTGGTTGGTATTAGGGCTGAAATTTTTCACAAGTGTTTTCTTTGAGGCAAGAACTTTTTTGGATACTAATAATTTCTAATTTTTGATCTTGACCTTGGAGCTTGACCTACTTCAAAAACTTTAACCTTGGCCATAACCTTTTTTTTATTTTACAGATGCATTTCTTGAGCAAGACCTTTTCATATGAAGTACCAGTATTTTCACTTCGTGAAGTATATTCCTTGTAACAAAGTCTTTCTTTGGGTACCAATGCATTTGACCTTTGACCTTGGAGTTTGACCCGCTTTTGCACATTTAACCAAACCTTGGCTATAGCTTTTGAATGGTTAGTGCTACTTCACATGCATATTCATTATGAGAGACCTTCACTTTGGGAGAAAATATTTTTGATCCTTTGATCTTGGAGTTTGACTTACTTTTGAAAAACATTAACCTTGGTCATAAGTTTTGAATGGTTTAAGCTATGGCCTTTAAATTTTACATGTATACCGATATTCCCTATGTCACTTTACTTTGTTCCAAGCAATTTTGACCTTATAGTTTGACCTACTTTCGATAACTTAAACCTTGGCCATAACATTTGATTGCTTAACACTAGGTCTTTTTTTCATTTTAAAGATGTATTTCTTGTGCAAGACATTTTTGTATGAAGAACCAGTATTTGTTCACTTCATGACCTTGAACTTTGACCTACTTTTGAAAAACAGGCCATATTTTCTGAATGGCTACTGCAAGGGCTTTCTTTTTTACAGTTTTATTCATTGTGACAAGACTTCTCTTTGGTTACCAACATTTTTGATCTTTTGACCTTGGATTTTTACTTGCATTTGAGAAACTTTCACCTTGGCCATGAGTTGCCATATAGGGGCATCAGTGTTTCACAAACACATCTTGTTGCTACTAGATATTATTACGCAAATCATTTATGTTGTCACTAAACGTTATTTTAACATTTATTAAAGCTTCAAATATCTGTAAAAACTTTTCATCTTTTTTTGCAACTGACTGATAGTTGTAAATTGTTAACATAATTTCACAGAGAGGGTGTAATATATACATAAATCTCGATAACTCATTTGGCAGTCCAAAATACGAGCCAAATTTTTAAAAACATATTCAAACATGCAGAGGTATAATTTGATTTTCAGATGGCTCCATGTAGAAATATTCTGTGATTTCCTTTCAGCTGTATTATTAAACAGTTTATTTACGTATATCTGAACAAATTCAATAAAATTAAACATGTTATTCAATAGTGTGAAGTACAGAGAAAAGAAATGTCTTTGGCACCTCAGCATAAGACTTATGAATAAAGACCTTTTTATTTCTGTGAAGAATACAGATTTGATTGATTTTTAAGGTTCTTTGTGTGTGTGAACAGAGCATTTTATTTCTGTGTGTGACAGGAATGATTTCCATGGGAGACGCCTGGCACACACATACATAAATGTCCCTCTTAGAACTTTAAACCTGTGCTATATAGAAGATTCTTTTCCCTATTCATTTTTTTTTCTCTCATAAGAAGTCATCCTGAAACTATATTTGAAAGATCTTGTCATCATAGAACAAGGTAAACTGAATTCCAAGTTTCCAATAGTTTTTGATATACCTGTATAATAAGAAAGTTAGTTCAATATTTATACCGTATCATACCTTTAATAAATTTCTTTGATGATGCAAGTAGATTTAAAAAGAAATTGATAAAGAAAAATTGTGATATAAATGTGAACATTAATTTTAATACACAAGACATTCTTAATTTCATTTCGTATCTTTTACTTTTAATTGGAAGGAAATGTTTGGTTAAAGTTTACTCAAATTTGTTTAAGAAAGAATGATAGAACTCTTTGACCTTATTGATTTTTTTGTTGGTTATTAGGAGGCATATACCTTTAACTGCCATTTTCATAACTATCCCAGGTAAGAAGCATCTAAAGGTTTGAAGAAAGTCAGACTTAAAAGGTCGCTAGGATGTGAAAGCCATTTAATGGAGATTTTTGTTTTGTCGTTGCTACCTGATTAGACTTTTAATAGTTGTCACAATTTCTTTATGTTTCAGATGTGAGACTATGACAAACTAAGAAGATGCCAGTGGATTACTTAACATTTAGTTGATTAATAAAGGAAACACTACAGTGAAAAAGATGGCAGATGGCAGCTACAAATGCCATGACTGCCATATGACTTTTGGATCATTGAATTTACTTCAGAAACACAAGCAGAAGTTTTGTGTGGGAGGTTCTGTTGGGGATCCTGACAGTTTACGACTACGGAAAGGACTATGGTCAGCTGATGATCCTCCCCCCAGACCCTATACCCCTGAGGAGAGGGTGAGTAGTCTTCAGAAGATTTTTTTTAACTGAATTCCTAAAGGCAACATATTGCTCTCAAAGTTTGAAATGCGTAAAATGTACCAGTCTGAGAGTTCTTTTTGGAAAAGGGAAATGGTTTTTATGGAGAGATATCAAAAATTTCCACAAAAAGTCCTAATTTCCCTGTAATAAATTCCAAACAATGATTTACAAGAATAGAATATAGCCTGAATGAGTTAGATACTATAGTGTAGTCTTTTTTTTCTGAGACTAGGATTAAGATTTCCAGAGTAAATGCAAAGTCATATGTTATCTTAACCCAGACTCTGAGAATAGTCAGTTCACCTGATCATGTCACAAGTGCAAGGTTTTGCTGCTACAAAAGTAGAAGAGTTATACTGACATATATGGATTATTAATGATGAATTCATTTTTGAAACTATTAAATTTATATTTTTAATGATAGAAAATGTCATGTAACCAATTACAGATTCATTGAAAGATCAGATTCATTGTGCCAAGCATTACCGTCTACAAAGTAACAACTTTTTTCTTACATATACATATAATACCTCTTTCTCTTGCCATTGTGAGTTAAGGAAAGATGTTTATTGAAAATAACTTATTCTAGCATTGATTTATATGTACATGTATATTAATGTATAGTGGATTTCTTTAGCAGTTGTAAAATTTGGCATTTTGCTTGATAAAAGGTATACAATAAATATGGCGGTCTGACAGAGTTCCGTGACATTACAAAAGAGGGAAAATTCATTTTCTAGATGAGTTTTCAGTACGTTTATACATTTGAATACTGATTTAGGCAAGAGTTCGAGTAAAAACCAATACCAGATGAAAGATATATTGTTAAGCAACAGACTAATCAAAAGTTATTTTGCTTGTATACAGTACTGATATGCAAGGGTGCAAATTTATCAGTTAAAATTTAGCAGTCTTCTTCAAAACTGCTGAAACAAGCCAAAGTTAGCACCCTGCTAAAAATTCCTGCTATACAGCATGTACCTCAAAAGATAAATTTAGGTGCATTAATACATTCACTGTAATTAGAAGTGAACACAGGCAATTTTGTCAGATTAACGTAAATTGGTAAACTTGGTACAAAATGACTTTAATTGAGGGGGAAAACAATTAAAACATGCAGTTTGTTTCAATGTTACGGTATTTCAAAATGATCTCGATGACAAAATATTTGCAGCCATTGTCTGGAGGGGAGAAACTAGCGGCAAAGGTGAGACAACATTCTAGCTGAATGACAATTCAAAGTTGTATTGGCATGTTGTGTAAATGTTGTCAATGTTCACTCTGAGGTTATGGCTGTATGTAGAGAGTGTTAACTGTAGAACTAATGTAGCTGAATCCTAGCTTGTAAACTAAAACCCTGCAGTGCAAACCAGATATGCTTTGCATGGGTTTGCAGTAACCCAGTGTGCAAATCCTTTTGATGAAATGATATGCATGTACATTTAGATTCTGCAATAAAACTTTGGCGAATGCACCTTGTATTTTATTTTTTATATTCTATGTGTGTATTTATCTCTATGATAAAGGGTTATTCAGTATTTTATGTGTTCAATGGTTTGTGTGAATACTGTGTTTGCTTTTTTTTCCCTTTACTTTTTTTTGAGGGGGGGGGGGTACATTTGGCTTTATTAAATAGTAAACAAAGCTATTTTGGGCTCTGAGAAAAGAATTAAAGATACATTACTTGTAGGAGGAAAAAAACCTGCAAATTTTGGTTAAGCTAACCTTCTGACTAAATATAGTCAATTGTATATTTTATGTTTAAAAACTGACTGAAAATATTTGAATGACCCTTAAAAATAAATACAATGATCAATTTAATTTTGTAATTTCAATATTCAAAGGATATTGAGTAAATTCATTTCAACTTATTCTAATAAATTGTAAAATATTGTAATTGGGAGCAAAGATATAATTGTAAAGTATGTGCTTTGTAATTTGATAAAAAAAAAAGTACTTGGCTGGGAGAGCCATTTAAAGGCAACTGTCCTAAACTTTGAAAAGGTACACCACCTCCAAGCATTAAAAGCCGAACGGGAAAAAAGTCGAGATATTCTTAACTTAGAGGAAAGGATTCTCTTGGATACATTAGAAGACAGAAATGGCTGCCAAGGTTATGGTCCATCTTACAGAAGTCAGAGCAGGCTTCCTCTATCCAAAGACATGGATGTGCAGCAACTGCAGCTGCAGGTAAATATTTAGTAGCAAAGAGAGAAGGAGAGAAAGAGAATTTTGATCGAGTTACTTTGTTGGAGTTACAATCAAGACAAAGCTGTATGTGTGTTCAACTGTCAAATCTTTATAACTGCATCTCTAGTCAGATTTTTTTCATTAATCATCCTTTCTTTTGTTGCAGTATGAGATGTTGAGAGAAAGAGAGCAGATACAGAAGTTACAGCTTGATCTTAGAAAGGCCGTCTCCCCACGGGGGAGGGATACTCGCCTCGATAACTATTCACCCATGTCCAACTCAAGCATGAGTATACATTTCCCAGACGATGTAAGAAACCTCCTTAGACCCTTCATCCATTTACTATACATGTATTGATGATTAAAAGCTTTTTATGGATGTTTTTGCTGTGATATCTTGAATATAAGCCATTTTAATATTCAATCCAACGGACCCAATTTACAAGTTCTCTATTTATTTTTATGTTTTGTGTTTTTGTATCCATTGAACACAAAACAAATTACATAAATTTTTTAATATATTTATTTTAAGATAATTTTGTATAGATATGAAATGATATATTTGTCTGGATTTGCACTGCAGGAAGATAGTGTACATGCAAGTATGAGGTACTGGTCTTTGTAACATTGTTCTAGTTTGAAGCTGATTTTAATGTTCTTTGTTGAAGGTTGCTACAATTACAGATCATGTAGACTTTGCTTAACTGGTATAGAAATCACAAATCATTACAAGGAACTTCATTAATTGTACTGGAAACAAAGAAATTTATGCTTGGTGTTAATCATGATAACTTATAATCCAAGATGAAATATTTGACAAAAATAATTCTTTATGTATTATTTTCTCTGTACAATGATGAAATGTAAGCTCTTTTGAAATAGCAAGCCTATAAATTCTATTCCAGTCAAAAAAATCATAAATGCAAGCATAAAGAACAAGGTTTACTTAGGGCCTTTTTGGCCCTTTGAATTTCTGAAAAACTGAAACTGCCTAGTTTTAGTTGACAATGCATTAAATTTTATTTAGACTTTTGGCGATTGTGAATCTACCAATTTGAAAAATGACGTAATTTTCTGGCTAGTCAATGCATTATGATGTCATGAAATGCGTCATTTTCCTCATATCCAGAACAATTCTACAAAAACAGCCAATTTTAAAAGCTATTTTTCGATATTTAATATAGAATGCAATCTCTGATCTAAAATATTCAATTATTTACTGATAGAACCATTTCTGAGGATTACAAAACATTTGTTTTATTTTTTAGATCAGAGGGTGTGCTCATATTATTTTTCTTCTCTGAGAGTACATGTACTTAAATATACCTGTTTTCCTTAAAATTCAAAAACATTGCAATTCCATAAAGCTTGTTTTCCAAGACCTGGACTTTAAGGAGAAAAGTTTTAATAGGAAATGAAAGCACTAAGTCTCTACTTTATCTTGATGTTTAAAATGGAACATAAGGTGTTAGTTAATAAATTGGTATATATACAGGGCCATTTTTACAAAAAATAAAGTGAACCTAGCTCTTACTATGTTTGCAGTTAGTGAATGTAAATTATTGATGAATCAATGTTCATGTTTTGTTTGAATTAATTAAGCTAAATTGTATAATCAGATGGTTTTTGACCTCCTGTATTTATTAACCAGATATGTTTGGTTTCATGACTTCATTTCATAATATTTTATATATTTATCTGTCTGTGAAAAAAGAAAACTCTTCAGACATTTTAACCTTTGATCTTTCAAATTCTATGCACTAGTCTTCTTTAATCTCAACCTTGCTTTTACTGGATAATGGAAAGGATCGAGTTGTTCTCTCACCAATATTCTGTTCCTCAAACTTTTTCTTTATTTTTCTTAATCAATAATGCCCTGAATAAAGAAAAATACATTAAGAATCTTTTACTCTAACTGATTAATGTAAATTTCATTTTAAGAAAATTGAAATCTGCTCAGAAACAGAACCTCAGTTACCTAAAAGAATACAAAGCAAACACTGATCAAACCATTTTTCTTCTTGGGCTTTGTAACCTGTGGCTCTCCACAGAATTCATGTTTAAGTACATGTTTTTACTATTAATATACAATGTGCTGTCAAATTATACTTAAACAATATTAAAAGATCAATAGGAAAATTTTTTGGAGGGCAATTCTAATCTGACTAAAGTCTCCTTGTACTTGAAATTTGTACCGAACTGCAGCGTGGGGGTGTTTGCCAACCTGGGTACAATCGATAGTCCTTAACTGTGTATTTAAACACAATCACTGATAGCCCCAATAAGAAAAGGCATCAAAATTGTTTGTTTTGTAAATTGAAAATTCCTTAACTGGTTGTTTCTGCTTAGATCACTAGGAGAATAACTTAATAACTTTTAATACTGGGATATGCAATAACAAGAGGATTTAACTCTGCTTATAAAAGAATCATGCTTTTAGTTTTTGATGAGACAGGGAATGGCCATGATTAATTTCTAGCTCTAGGTGGGGTATAACAGAGAATTATTTATTTAAATTGGTTTCAAGAGGTTGTCTAGAGATAAGTAAAACAAAAGATAAAATTTCATTTGTTTTTGAAATTTAATTTAAATTAGGCCCAAGTTAGGAACAAAATAACATTTTTTGTTGTGAAAATCAATACTTTTATTCTCATTTGTTGGTATTAAATTCAGCCAAAAAAATTCCCAAGTTTACAATACATATCTAATTGAGTTTGAGAAGATTTCATTTTGCAATTTGCTGATTTTAATTATTCATTTTTTAATCAATTAATTTAGATGAAGGTTTTGTAAAGAAAACGATTTGCCAAAGAGTCTAAATTGTTTCATTAAGGAAAAGAAAATGAAAGAAAAAACAGAGTATATTGTACATAAGCAGTTTCAGAGAAACAAAAAATTGAAACAGACTTGACAATTTATTTCCTTCTTGAAATAGGAATATCAAAGATATAATCCAAACCAGGAAGCCCAGCTGAAACAGCTGGCAGAAAATCATGGGAGACAGATGGAATATCTACAGCTCCGGAATAGGGATCTGGAGAAACAAAAGGAGGGTACGTATAGTGCTCTCTCTCTCTCCACATCTTTGATAAAGCAAAAGGAGGGTAGGCATAACTCTTTCCCTCTTCCCCTCTCTCTACAGCTTTGATAAAGCATTAGGAGGGTAGGTGTCTCTCTCTCTCTCTCTCTCTCTAGCTGATTATTGTACCTAAATGATATACAGTGGTAATGGTGCACATTGCCGTGCATCTTTTCACAAGGTATTGAATAGTGTATAAAGTGTGGCTGTTAATTTTATTTTACAGACATACAGAGGAGGCTTTCAGAATTGGGAAATAAGGGCCGCCCCACTGGTGGGGAGGACTCGGCACAATTGTTGGCTGAGCTGAGGGCACAGGAGGAACGAAATCAGAGGGCTCTAGAGGACCTCAAACGACAGTTGTATGATATCAACCACCAAAGGGTCAACATCATGTAAGTGAAAACTAAGTCCTTTATGTTATACAGTGTGATATAGATCTGCAATATGAGATAATTAGTATCTCAGTTCAAAGTAATGCATTTTACTTTTGAGATTCAGTGTTTTAGAGTTAATGAGTCCTAGAGCATCATGATTTCAGAGTTTGTCTGCTTTGAAGTCATGTAACGACAAGCTCTCATCTTAATAAAACGCTGTCTAAAATTTCTTATCTTTTTTCAAAACGGATCTTTTATAAGATTAGAACTATTTTGTACAAATACATGTTAATGTTGGGGAAAAAGGCAAGGGTTAACCCAATAAAAACTACCAGTATATTGAGTTTATGTTTAAGAAACCATACAACATAATGATTAGATACGTTTGTACATGTATTTTGTTGAATTTTATATTTGTCAAATGTTGATATACTATATCACTGAAAAATCAGTATTTAAATTTGATAAAGGTAAGGAATTCAGGTAATAATTAACTATTGTCATCATATTCAGTAGAAATCTATTGTAGACAAAATGTTTTTAGTTATGCACACCTTTAGTTGATGTGTTGAAATGAACCACCATAATAGATTAATTATAAATTCCACAAAAAGTGACAAATAAGTCAAAAAAAATTATAAGTCACAAATACCTGACAGAAAGGTAGACTTGCTGAGGGAGAATATAGACTATACAAATCATCTGATTGAAGCCTTAGAGGAGAAAATTCTCAGTGAGTCACCTCAGCAAACAGCTGACCATAAGGATGCCGAAACTCAGCTCAGTAAGATCTCGACACTCGCAAACAGTTCCAGTATCTCGAGACACTCACTGAATGAGATTGACACCACTCTAGACCAGGGAGACAAAGCTTCAAATAGAAATGATCTAGACCAAAAGTATAAGCTCTATCAACAACTGCATGCTTTGGTCGGTAGAATTAACAAAGATGTGAACTCTTTAGGGTATTTTTTTGTTGTTGTTGTTCTGTTGTCATGTGGTTTAGTATTATTTTCAGGAAAAAGTTTTTGTTGAGATGCATTATTTTTTTAATGTTATTTTGGAACTGTACTATTTCACTTTTTTTTTTTTTAAATTATATCTATTATTTTGTTCATTTTAATATGCCATGTTTGTTTCCAGTCTCAACTTGGAAAAGTTAAATATATTAAATTCGTAAGAATAAACTTACTATAAAGATTTTTTATCATTCTAAGTAAACTTTAATAACTATGAAAAATGCACTAAAGAGATATATCATGTATGTACAATAATATCTGTGTTAATTTTTTTTTCTCAAAGATATGTACAATATAGTTACAAGATATTTTTTTGTAAAAAATATGTTTTTATTATTTTTTATGCAATTTAAACATTTTTTTCTTTGAAATAAAACAGAAATTTCTTTTTCTTTAGAGAGGTGGATAAAGGACACCCCCTCCCCCCTCCTCCACCTCCCCCACAACCAGAAACTGGACGGAAGTCTTACGTTTATCCCATTTACTATGGCAACTCTATGGTAGCAGAGATAAGGTACCAAATAATACAAATCTATTTACAGATTTCAAAATTGAACATAATTCTTGTTGCTTTTTGATCAAAAGATGTTGAAAACAGTATGAGAATCATTAAATTTCACAATTTTTTGGGGGGGAACAGAAAAGATCCTATTGAATTATTCATTTCTAACTACTAGTATTGAAATGATATTTAGAACTTAAGCATGTTTGAATTACGCTATGATTATTGTCATTGTAGAAATAGAATAGATGTGGTGTATTTGCTAGCATTCAAAATTCATGTCATTCTATAGAGAAGAAATCAAGAGTGAAGATCAATAAATTTTAGAATCTTTTAATAAGGACAGAGTAATCCACTTAACTTTAATGGATGAATTATATCTTATCCACCTTTTGCACTTCCATAAAAGTAACTATGGTGATTTCACTTGAAGAGAAAATGGAGATTGATCAATAGATATCAATTCAATCAGTTTTTTTTGTTCCATAACATATCTTACAAATACAAAACATTAAAGGTTTTAATAGACCTGCGTATTCTATTGCAGTTCCTTCACTGAAGTGTGTAAGTAATATCAGTCAACCATGTTATTGTGCCAATAACTTGACAGGTGTTAACTCTGTGCAGATAAGTAAAAAGAAACAAATTGAGATTGCATTGTTTTTATTTACTAGTGCCATACGACAGGCATACCTACAGAACGGTGGTAACGATCCCGATATTCTCCAACAGATGGCACAAATGCAAGCCGAGGCGCAGAATATAGAGGATCAGATGAAAAGAGCTGGATATGACAATCGACACCGAGGTATCCTAACATCTCTTGCTAAATTATAACTGTGAAAGACTCCATTTAATGGTTTGTTTGCATATATTGAATATTACATTTGTCATTTTGGATTGTTGAATTTAATGCATTGTTTTTTTTTTTTCTTTTAACAGAGAAAAAAGACACAGGTCAGATTACTCAATTGGAGTTAGAGAATGAACGACTTCATAGGGAGCTGATGCTTTTACAAGAACAGAACATATTAGCACGTGAAAGGAAGAAAACTGAGCGAGAAGGTAGGAATCTTAAACGTTACCATTCCTTTAATCAGCATGATGCTGGCCATCGTGAGCATGATAAACTAGAACAATTTGTTCAAAAATATGAAACAGCAGGAAATGCAATGTTTCATAAGAATTCGCCACGTACTTACCCCAAAGATGATAGAGAAGCTAAGAGGACATACATGAATAAGAAGCTGCAATTATCCAGTAAACCAACGACGTATTCCACACATGCAAAACCATATGTACCTCCTCTTGATTTGCGAGGGATTAATGATAGTTTGGAGACAGTTAGAAAAGATCAACAAAGGCCCCAACCACGGTGGATGGAACGAACTTCAAAGCCATCATTCTCCAAATCTACAGATCTCTCACAATTGGAATTAAATCCCAATTTTACAAGGGCATATGACAGAAAATATGGTCATCATTATCCACACAATGAAACAATGTCGCTGTATAATCCAAGACCACGAAATCAAAGTGGGAGCCACAAGTCGGTTCGAACAGAAATCTTAGATGGTGCCATTGAGCCTAGAAGACGTCAGAAGTTCCACATGCAAAAGGGTCTGTCAGAAAATGACCTTTATGAACTGTTCAGACAAACCAAAGATTCCAAAGGACTTTCATTGCCAGGGCGGGATAGAAACGTGACAACATACAATACAAGGACAATGTATAATGTTCCTGCTGATCGTAAATATGAAACAATATCTCTACAACAGAGAGAGGAGATGAATCCACAGACACAAAATATTATCTCAACAGTGACTTATAAACAGGAAAAAATCAAAGAGAAAGCTAAAGTATGAATATCAGTGAGGATTTAGGAGGTGAAACAAAAAGTGTGACATAGTTTGAATATTGGATGATTACTTTATAAAGTATCCATATTTGATGCATTATGGATTATTTAGAAATACAACAGAAGTGATGCATTTTGACTACACTCAAATGATTGTATCATTTAATAGAAAATTGTAAAATATCTTGATATATTTGAATGTAGAAGTAGATGCTGATAATGAGTAAGCGCATCCAATAAATTTAATCCATGCAGATTCAGAGCTAGAAGTGTCTCACTGCAATAACAAAGGCTAAATCAGTTTTCTAACGTTAAAGATTCAAAACTGCTAATCAAGTGAGATCCCATACTGGTACGCAATACACTAGCATCATTTTTTTTTCAAATTTGGGATCTACCGGTATATGTCTAGCCTAAAGGGAAAATATGTACATGGCCTGCTGGCATGGGGCCATTAAATTTTGGAGTTTGGCCAGTGCTCTGAAAAAAGAATTTTCTTTCATATTGTCATCTCTTTGGGGGTAATGTTTCAAAAATTTTCACTTGTTGCCTGAAACAAAATTAATATTTGACAAGTAAAATTTACTTTGAATGGCCCTTCCACGTAGTGTCTGAAAAAAAAATATAAGTTTAACACATTTATACAAGAAGTACTTGAATCCTTACTTAGAATTGATTTGAGTAGAAATTTTACATAATTAGACATGTTCACTAACTGTTACTACAATAAAAGCCAACCAATATAAACAGAACATCACATTTTATGAGAGGTCCACTTTTAACATTATGAGATTTAGAAAAAGAGATGTTGCAAAAATTAATTGAATTGTTTTAATACAAAGTAATGAAAGATTTGCTTGATGTTGCCAAATTTTCCAGGGAGGTGAGATCCATGAGCATCCATAATGAAAGTGCACTGGTAGCTCCATATCTGAATATTTTCTCTTTATATCAAATACTCGAATGTAGACAGCTTTTACTCAAGCTTTAATTAATATTAGAGGAATGTTACCACATTATAATTTATATTTAATTTTTTTTTTCATTCTATTTGTTAGAATTTATTTTTGTTACATATTTATTTTGTTTAAATAAAACTTTTTTTTCAAGCTTTTTATTGTTTATTCTCCATCCAATTGTCTGCTTACTTAAGCTGAAATATTTTAAATATTTACTGGTAGTTTTTGTGTTCCAGCAAGACGAGTCAAAAAGTAATGATTACGAATCTTTGAATAAGAATTCACTAGAGTGCAATGACTCTAAACTCACTGAATAAACAACTGTAATCATGCGGAACACCACACACTTCAAGGGGAGGGTGAATGCTCATCCTAAAAAAAGAACTGCAGGGGACCAGTTTAAATGTTGTCAATAACAATTAATGTCTTCATCTGAATTTAAATAATGTAAAGAAAATATATTGACACAAGTTTTCATGCATGTTTTCTTTTATTTGAAAAGTCCCAGATTGAATTTGAATTCTGAGCAAGTTTTGACAAGCTAGCTAGCTCGATCAGTAAGAGTTATGTCTTTGGATCCACAATCATGCAGAACACATAATACATGCTGAGTTTAAAAATACAAATAAGAGCATGGAAAGCAATTCCGTTGATCAGAAATTTTTATCTCAATTCATATTATACTTGCACATTGCTCAAAACTTAAGTTGTATCACAAAGAACACAATACATCAGAATTGCATATTAGTGCATCATAAAACATCAGGCAGCAAAACTGAGCAATGTATGTGCTTAAAATTGAAACACTCTTATTGAGATTACTTTAAAAAGCATGAATTTCCTTATCCAGGGCTAAGGAACCAATAATTTTGCCAGTTTATACTCTACAATAGAAAACAAACTAAGTTAAGGTTGTGCCCTCTGCGGAATAATGTCTGATGCCCTTTTTCTGCTTGTCCAATTTTCTGAAAGGCTGTTGTAACTTTATGTTATTTCTAAAATAAAGAGATATTTTATTAAAATTATTTATTTTATGTCATATAAAACAACTCTTAAGGCATTGGTTTACATGTCTAATTTTGTTTCAATTCAACCAAGAATTTCTAATATGTTAATTGATTTTTATTTTTCAGAGGAACTAGAGCGACAGCTTCGACAGCTTAGAGAGGACCAATTAAGGAAAATGTACGAGCTTCAGAACGAAATCAATCTCCTTAAGAATCGTCCACCTGTAGAGATCACGCGGCCCCAAATTCTTCCCCCTCCCCCTGTGAGTAACAAATATATCATTATTCCCTCATGCATATATTTGAAAATGTTTTAACAATATCTTAGTGAAAAATTAAATACCCGGTATAATATAAAAGTGTTAAAATTATTGAAAGGCTTAAAGTTGTTTGAATTTATTTATTTTAAAATTGTTAAAATCACACCAATTACTGCTTATCTCCCCTGTCCCCACATTTTCTTTAAGTTTGTCTTAAATGCAGCCAGCTATCGAGTACCTTTGAAGCTCAATTTTGAATTTCTCCCCAAGTATGCATCTTGGTTCTTTTATACCTTAAAATCTACTAATATTATTATTTGATTTGACCACTAGATTTTATTAGATGTTATTAGATTTTTACTTTGCCTTATAACTAATGATACATGTAATGTCACATATTAGTTCTAATGCACTTAATATTTTAATAAATTTCTAATGTGTGTTACTCACTGATTGGTGTCTATGTATGCACTACACAAAATTTGCACCTTGGTGTCCAAGAATGTGAAATTGGTTTCTAGAAATTCCTAAATGAAACACTAGCTGGTATTATATCCCAGGGTGTTCATGTTTTAGGTGTTTGGTGATTGTTGCATGTTGTCTAAATGCATCTGAATGCATTTCCATGTGATTTTAAAATTAACAAGTTTGATGAATTGCTTTGATATGATGGTGCAAATTCTGTGTCAAGGTGTATGGGACATATAAATGAACCAAGATTGTAATGACCTATTGTACCCCCACATTGACAGACAAATGCTGATACACCCTGGCTATTACAGAGACCCTATGTAGAAGTGGAACCCATGGCCCCATATGACCAGTAGTAAGTAATTTTTTGTTCTACCTATCTTTTGCGTCATACATATAAGGTTTGTAATTGATCAGATTTAGCAACCTTATTGTAATTCAAATCCATGTTGGCTGCCTAAAACATGTATGTTACTGTAAAGAAAATTTATTTTAGGAACAATGTAATAATAAAAATTATACATGATTTAAATAAACAATTTTTTTTGCTAAATATGCTGAAAACTTAATTAAACATACTGCTGAGTCAAGCAGTACATGTTACAATAAATTATAAACTGGTATGTTCCAGTCTCCATTACCATAGTGAAAATGGGTAGGTTAAAGGTTATAGGTCAAAATGTAAATCCACAAAGTTCACAATGTGATTGATACCCTGGTGTTCTTTGCTAGTGTGGTTTGGAGTTCTCGTGATGGGATCCCCCTCTACCCCTCCCTGATCATTCAAACCCCCAAGAGCTTAAATTCCACCTTCACTCTGGCATGAGGGTGCAAATCAGTACACACGGGGTGAGGAGTTATATGGATGTGAAATGGGCAACATTTTAGCCTTATCAGATATGCTTTATTAAGATCACAGAGTTATATATTAGGCAGTTTTTACATCGTGTAAAATTATAGATATTTTATATTTAAATTCACATTAAGGTAAAGGAGCTCTAACAGTAAATGTTAATTTGTAATTGTGATGCTTATATTTATAATCTGAAATTCCATAAACAACTTCTAACATTCAGTGCCTTGCTTACATAAAATCATGTGTATGTATGTATACTTGAGGAATTTATTATCATGTAGTTCCTTGAGGAGCACTGACTGCAAAATAAAATTACTCACTTTCATTTTAATGTTGCTGAAATAAATGTAAAAAACTTTTGATCAACAACTTGAAAATTCATGTTCTCATGATTTAGTGCCCATGAATCAATTTTCACGTAATATATGGATCGAATCTTCAGTATTATTGCATGGTTCATTGTGCTGCATTTTCCCTAAAAGAATCTTTTTTTTTTTTTTAATTTAATGAAGCTGTTTAGTTTAAGGTGCACTGACCCTCTAATAAGAGAGATAACTCTCATAAGAATTAATGACTTTTATTCCCTTAAAAATTGTCAGGAAATCTTTGTTCTCATTTGTATTGCAAGGTATGCTGAAAGTTTGCATTTTAATTATAATTTGGATTTTGTTTGGAAAATCATTATAATATGAAGCAAATTTGATATGATTAACTTTAAGAATTAAGTATATGCATAATGCCTGTAACATTCAAACCATCATGCTTAGAACTTGGAAATACATGTACATACAGGGTAGACATTAGGAGGCATTCTTTAGACCACTGTTAGGGCTCCTTCTTATCTTGCAAGAATCCCAAAGATACTAAAAGTAAAAATTGCTGATATCAAAAACACTAAAAACAATACCCCAAATAAAACAATTAAGTGACAGATTTTAATCAAGATATGGATGTACCTTGTTTATATCAGATTTCTATGAGATGGCCTCTGCATGCCTTTGCCCATTGATCTAAAGGAAATTCAGCTACTGTAACAATTCAGATCTATCTATAGTCCAAATCAACGCTTGCTTTAGATAGCACCATTCTATTCTTATACTCACTGCCCAGTCAGTTTCAAATAAAAGTTAAATATGATGGGATTCAGCCAATTAAATTTACTTCTTATGACTGCAGCAAAGTAATCTTAGCCTTCAGCTAATTACAGAGAATAACAAAGGTTTAATGCTTTGGGCTAATGCTGTGGTTGATTATGGGTTTAATGGGATGTTTTACAACACTTGCTTTTTTTATTGTTTCTTTTAATATTTTTAATGTACATATTATGCAACCACAAATCATTCAACTTTAAAAAGGTTTACAAAGAGCAATAACTCCTGCTTTTACAGCCCTAACCGCTATATTCCTACGAACCATCACACTTGGGTTGGCACCCAGCATTACTACAATGGTGATATAAGCACTAGATTACCGCCACCCACGGCCCGCCCAGACTCAAACATTGACCTGCCCGACTGATTCTTGCAAGATGTATAGGTCTGTCTTCAATAGTACGACTGCACTCAAACAGCACTTTTCCTGCCTATTCTTCACTTTGTGCTTCTATATACATGTACTGACCTTTTTTTTAGTTGAAATGGTTAGAAAGTCTTGAATTATATTTTTAAAGTAGAATACTACTGTATTTAACTGAAAGTTTAACAAACTGCCTCAACTCTCAACATTCCATCCCCACATGCATGCACACTCAATTTTTGATGTGTGGAATTTTGCTAACTATTGGAAATTATTGCTATTGAACTAAGATAATTAATTACAAAATTGGAAAAACTGACAACTACTGATTTGGATAGGAAATACAGGGCTCATAGGCAAATAACCTTAATTATTAGATCTCTTCATTCTAAGAGCTGCATGGTACTTATCACATGAAAATGCGAGTTTCCTTTTCAAATGAACTGATCCAAGTTGTGTGCATGGTCAACATTTAAAGTAAACTCCTTTTGAACATGCTTTTATTTTATCTCTAAAGTCAAGTTTAACCCATAGGAGAAACTTATGATCACCAAATTTTATAAATTTACCAATTCCTTACAGCCCCAACCGGTTTGATAAGGAACGATTGCCCACAGCTTTTCATTCTTGGGTAGCAACACAAAGCCACAAACCACATGATGAATATCGAGGCAATCCTTTTGATGAAGATTCGGGGGCTCAAACTTAGTGTTATCTAACCCTTATAGAAGGTGAACACCCCATGATGATGTTCTGCACTCAAAATCACTAAAGCAAATATTTTTGCACCTAGATATTGTACAGCTATCCAAAATATACTGCATGGATTAAATTTTAATGTTTGCTTTAAATTTTAACAATTTCAAATGAAGCTTCATTTTCTTCTGTAGTTTCTACATTCCTAGAGATTTGTCGCCCTTCCATAACTCTTTTAGCACTTGACAATTTCATAGATGTGTTAATATACAATGGTTTTTAAAGCATTATTTATTACTAACAATTGATTTTAAATGTGCCAAAAAAAGTAAATTTACTATTAGAAGAAAATTATTAATTTAATGAGCAACATAATTGTTATTCTTTGGGTAATTAAAATTTTATATATTAATTTTTTTTTGGATGAAAGTTTTAAATTTCACCCAATTTAGATTATTAAGCTTGAACTTTTTATAAATTTGCTTGAAGTAGCCTTACTTTTGCCATTAAGAAAAAGAATACTTAAATCTCTTTTAAACTTCACATTCTTTGTTGAAACCTTGTGTTCTTGTTCATCAGTTTTGCTATTCTGTAACAATCTGAATCTCTTTAAAATTTCTTTAATGGGACTTGTGAGGCCACTTCCGTGGATCAGGGTACCAGTCTATAAACTAGTTCTCCTTTCCTCATATATAGGACCTACGTGGTTCATGTGCCTGCATCCCAACCATGGTAGAATCCTCGCCCTTTGTGTACTGATGGCTGCTACGCAAGTCAACCATACGCATTTACATCTAAAGACATATAACAGGCTGTGATAAAACATTGTGAATTTGTGAAACTAGACATATTGAAATTTGTGTTTAAAATTTAGTTGTTTATAATATTGTAGTTCTGTTCTTCTTCAGAGAATCATGAAAAAGAGAGACATAATTAGTTTGTTTTAATTGTGATGAGTCTTTCCATGTATCATCATTATTGTGCAAATATGTAAAAATAAAATCATGATTGTATTTAAAGGGTCTTGGGTTAATCATTATGTATTAAAGAATGGGTAAATGTTTCAAAAAGTTTCACTATGTATTCAAGAAAACATATATTTAATTTCTTGCCTAACGAACAAATGCCAAAATTCAACTTTCTGAAAGTAGAAAAGGTGAGTTTAAATTTTTTCAAAAAGAAAATTATACTTTTATAAAATTTTAGGCTCAAATATTTAAGCACAACCTTCTTCCTTTTAGTGCTGGCTTTGTGATTTTCTATGACCTTGTTCTGAATCTGGATCCCCGAGTGACTGCCTGTAGATTAATTGTGGGCCTACATGGAGTGTCGGCACAAATGGGTGAGCCGACATTGATGCCCACAGTTTACACCGAGCCTGTAACCCGAGGAGGAGCCTACATGTCAAACAATTCTAACGCAATCATAGGGGCAAGACAGCCTGTGCCAAAGTAAGTCATGCATGACAGGGAACCATAATTGTTTTCGAGTTTCATTAGTATTACTAGATAAAATATGCATTTCATTTTGATTGTTTGTTTATTTGTTATTTAACGTGCCTCTTGAGAATTTTTCACTCATATGGAGACGCCACCACTTGCCGATGGAGGGCTACAAATTTTGACCTATACTGGCACTCAGGGTCATTGAGCAGTGAGGGATCTTTTTCGTGCCAGCACCTACTGTGACACGGGACCCCGGTTTATATGGTCTCATCCAAAGGACCGGTCTCCACATCCCACAGTGGGATTCGAACCCGCGACCTAAGGATCAACTCCTCACTCCACAACTCTAGAGCAGATGCTCTAACCACTGCACCATGTGAGTGACTTGATTTATTCTGAGTTTAACCTTTGTTAATTATTGAAGGTGTCCAGCAGATCCAGACCTTGGAATTGTGGTGGAGCTACAAACATCCGGGGGACCCGGATCTGATTATGACAAACACAGTCTCATTACGAGAGCGTGGACTAAGCTTCCTCTCTTTGACAGTAAAGGGCAGCTTCTTGCCGGAAAATTCCGCATTCCCTTCAGAAATGTTCCCATTAAACCTTATCTTCACCCTAGTCAACTACAAAACATAGATAAGGTTTGTACACTACCCCCTGCTGACCTCATCATTTCATTTTTTTAAGGAATTTTTTGTTTTCTTAAATTCATTTACCATTTTTATTGGAGGTAATTTTATCCATTTCTCTTTACCTGAATACAAAAAAACCCCTCTACAATTGCATTATTTGTAAATTCAATTTATGTTGGTTCAAATTACTGAGAACAATGTGTTTTCTGTCCTCACAGTTCCAGGATGCTGAGCTATACTACCGAGTGGTCAACATGAGGGACATGGAGGTCCAGTCACTGGTCAATATCTCTGCAGCCAACTACAATCAGTACCGGCCTCCCGCAGTAAGTCTTACCCATGTCTATAGCGGCTCTGTTTTGATTAGAGATTTTTACCGTAGCTTTAACCATTTTCAAATTGCTTTGTTTATATGCAGCCCAACTTAACCATAAATCACTTATTAACTTTTTTCTTTATAGCTTAGCACCATTTGTTTGACTTTGTAGCGAAGAATAGATTGATGTGATGAGTTATTGTTTTCAGATTTCCCCGCTGAAACCTTTCTCACCTCGTGCCCCTCCCACTGCATCTACAGGGCTAGGAAGGTAATACCCGCCTTTTTCCCTCTTTCTCTTAGTTTGTTAGGTGTTGTTTTCCTATTAGATACATTTACCCACTATGTTAATAATTCTAAAAGGTAGGCAATGATTTAGGAGGGGCATTATAATAGCTGTGAAAGTTCGATATTAGGTGACTTCTTTTTTGACACTGAAAAATAAATAATGTATAGAAATGCCATATTGATTTGTTATTTCTTATTACAGCATTCATACACTGTATTGTAAACATTATCTCTTTTATGCTTAGAAATAAGAAAGTTGAGAAAACTTATTTTGAAATTCTTTGACATAGATATTTGCAAGGCCATCACAAAGAGAGGTATACAAGAATAAAGTATTATGCAGTATGTCTCTCTGATGTTAATGTACTAGTAATTCTAAAATCTCTTTGAAATAACTTCCTTCTGTGAAACCATTGTGGAATGTATTTTTATAAGTTAATTAAAATTTTCCTAATATGTTTGTGTCATTTTCCCCACAAGTGACAACACTTGATGAATAAGTTTTTATTTTTATCACACATGTACCGGGTACTAACATTTGAACAAACGAGCACTACATTTTTATGGGATATAAATCTAGCTACTTTTTTTATCATAAGCACTTTTTTTACAGTTAGAACTTTGTATATTTTCTCTGTTTTTAACAGCACTTGTATTATAGCTTTTCCTTTTTGTCTATACTGACCTGATTTTCCAGCTTTCATAGTCACGTTCCTGGCTCTCTGCACAAACCTCTCCCTCCTACCTCACCCCCACCAGCAAGATTTTCTCCCCCTGAGTCCAGACAGTCCAGGTAATGGTGGATGCAATGGCAAGGCTAATTAATATTACAAATATTTGTTGTTT